CCGGTGGAGGATTACTATCACCGCGCTACAATAGATGAGAATGGGAATTTCCAGCAATATGCTTATCACAAGAGGAATGGGACCGGTTGGAGGAGGGTTTGGAGAGCGGAGGATCCCTGCAGAGTGAATGGTGAATGCTATCTGTGGTGTGTATGGCTTGTGCACTTCTCTTGACAATGAATCAATCAAGTGTGAGTGTATTCCAGGTTATATCCCTTTGGATGATCAAGATGTTTCCAAAGGGTGTCACCCACCAGCTGTCATTAATTACTGTGCAGAGAACAACTTCAAGCTCCAGGTCTTTGACGACACTGATTTCTATTTTGATACTCATCTTGTTAGCTTAGCTAGCGTTGACTTCGAAAGTTGTAAGAAGGATGTAATAGATGATTGTAACATTGTTGCTGCAACTTATGACCATTCCACCTCCACATGTGCTAAGAAGAGACTGCCCTTGCTGAATGCTAGAAATAACTCTTCCTCAAAGGGATTGAAAGCACTGCTTAAAGTTGCTAACAGGATTGAGTCTGGGACATCTGAACTTCCTAAGAAGAAATGTTTTAATGTAAGAGTCTTTTTGAAGGTTCTTGTTGCAGTTACTGCAACTCTTGCATGTTTCTTTGGTGCACTTGCCGTCTACTATCATCCTTTCACTCGGAGACTTACAAGGAAAAAGAAGCATCTGAATGCAACAACTATTAGAATCAACTTCAGAGAATTTACCTTTCAGGAACTGCATGAAGCAACAGACGGATTTACTAAGATTCTTGGAAAGGGAGCTTCTGGAAAAGTCTATCGTGATGCTTTAGTAATAGGTGATGCAGAGATTGATGTTGCAGTAAAGAAACTGGAAAAGAAAATAGAAAAAAGTGATAGTGAATTCACTACCGAGCTCAAAATTATTGGTCGTACTCATCACAGAAATTTGGTGAGGCACTCAAGTTCAGAAAAAAAACAGTAGGGAGATCACAATATAAGTTACCATTACAGGTCTATATTCATCGTCATGACCAGCCACGTACGGCAACCCATCAGACAGTTCTCCTGAAAACTCATCTGCCACCAAATAATCTGTTTAAAAATAATTAACATAACAAAATTAGTAATGTTATGTTGAAGGAAAAAGAAAGGAGAAAACCCTTTGTTTTAGGGTGTGGAGGGAGAGTCATTCATCATCTATAGGGTGCATTCTGTAAGACTTCATTCAAATTATCTAAAGGGAGAGCAAGATTCTTGCTGGTTTTCACTTTCCTTTATATGTAAAGTAATAAGAAAGAAAAGAAGAATGTTAGAACAGCACTGTAATAATGTATATATCATAATTTACCAGCGCCTATGCTCTCTCTCCAAGAAAGACAAGTTCTGAGTTGCTTGGCAGCTCTTTTCACATTATCCCCTTTGCTTTCAGAATTCGTTCCACACAAGCATAGTTGCAGAACTTCTACACTCGAAACAGTTAAGAACAAAAAACATGTTTGTATCAGACTCAGAACACCACTTTGGAGTAATTCTCCTTCAAATAACGGCTTTTAGAAGAACATATATATATATATATATATATATATATATATATATATATATATATGTATATATATACATACATATATATATATA